CGAGGTCAACCTACTTCTATAAGTCGAGAGGAGACTGCGACCATACCCGAGGCCACAACATCTTGGTCTTCACATCTTCATATGCCTTAAATGTTCACAAATAAATCGTGGTGATTCAGGCATCAATTACCAATACGAATTTATTAGGGGATTCTTCAAAATCCAGTCTTCACATTTATGTACAACCAGAAATCACAAAAGCTATGCTACCGCCTAACGACACTCTTCTCAGTTCATTGCATTTATGCTCACATGTTGGCGCTGCTGTAGATACCACTTGATAAGCAAAATTTTATTATTAATCGCACTTTGATGGCATTTTTTTACCAAAACCTCCCATCAGCGGACAACAGAACAGATTCACTCAACCAAGCTTTTCCCACGTTGGTTGGAGAAATGTGTAGTCAGCCTATTTAGGCCCGAGTTACACTCTTGAGGCATATTCTCGTGGTACCAGGGGGAGGAGAGCCTTCGAAAAGTTTGAATTCTGAGGACTGGCATTCAAGGGCGAACATTCGGACGTCACAGAAACAGCCTGGCATTTGCCTGAGAAGCCTCCTCCTGTTGCTAAGCTCTCAGGTGGTAGCAAGGCCCCCTCATTCAGCACAGCATAGGGCTTAATACTAATTACTACATCCGGAAAGGTTACCATTTATTTCAGGCTAAAGGGTTATTTCATCCATTTTACCTGATTTCCGCTGAATTTCCACAAAGCCGACTGGCAATAATGCCTCACTTTTCGCATTCTACATGAAAAGTGGCACCCCGTTGTCTAGGCGGTCTAGGGTACAAGTGGCTATAAGACGAGCTATTGAGGCGAAGCAACAGATTCTACTCGAGATGCGCTCACCGAAGGCAGGATCCATCTGCACCAAGATCTCCTTGTACGGACTCAACTCGAGCTTAACTTGCGGATGCAACCCCTCTGTCAAGTCGAGAGGACACGAACCGGACAGGAAGGTGTCCAGCTGAATCCGCCGGCCCGGCAACAGGCTGCGCACGTCCACTTGACCTGCGCCAGTTGCGTCTGGATGTTCTCCACCGGTCTGGAAGGCCAGTTGTGGGTCGGGCTGGTCGGCGTCCAACCAGCGAACCGAGTGTTCAATGTTTACACGTCGGCCGTCCGCGAACTCGCCCGTCGTGTTCCAGTTGAAGGCGGCCAGCACGGGGCTGACCACGCGGTGTCCATTCGAGGCACCGTTGATCTGAATGGACACAATCAAAGGCGAAGGCACAGACAACAGGGCAGAAATACACGAAATCACACCAAGAAGATGGGTGGAAACTGAGGAGAAAATCTGTGCTGCAGCAACACAAAGGGTAGTTTCTAATAAATGGGGAAGAAAGGCTAAACCTCTTTGCAAGCCTAGACATTTAAGTGAAGATGAGTCTTTCTTCCGCGATATCATATCTACCCCGGATACTATGCTCTCTCTCGCTCTCTAGAAACAGAGAATAAATTTGATGAAATTCTGGGGAGAGCACCTCTACTACTTATTTAACCAGTCAACAAAGCCTACTCACAAAAGCGTTTCCGCTGTGAGAGCAAGTTACGAGACCCTTATAGGCTGGGGGCAGATTGGCGTTTGTTTAAAAGGCAATGCCTCACAACTTTATGGGGGTTGGCTCATGCCATTTCGAATACGTGACAGGACACGCCAACAAACAATTCACTTGTTCTCACCGCAAGTCGAAGGAGGCTTGTCTTAGGTCTGTTACTGCAAATTTGTGCGACCGTCCCGCGACCCCTTGCTGAGCTTTTGTCTGTCATGCCACGAACATCTTCAGAGCAGGACACTATACTTTGGTATAATTCCACAAAACACGAAAACCAAAAAGGTAGTCGGCTGGGGTCCTAGCTACTTTTTATAGTAAAACGTTGTTTACATGCATCAAGGATTCTTTGGAAACGATATTTTCCGTTTAGGAGACCTTCACTTCGTATGAAAGTGCATGAGAAAAAGATTCGTGGGTTGATCTAATGCAGTTTTATGCGAAATGAAGGTCTCCCCAACAATGGAATCTCAGTAGATTCATTGAAAAACCCAGTTACTTTCGTACCATTTTTTCAGTATAACTATCAAACGTAACTCAATAAACATTTACTACTTATATAAGTAGTGCAAAAATCAAATGAAAAACGTTTTCGAGACGTATTATTGTCACAATCGTCAACATGCCTCATGAGCGGCATGCCAGAGCGCCGGAGTGATGATTCCAGTGAGGGCCTGTACACAGGCGCTCTGTTGCGGAAGCACGTCGAGAAGGCGAATGTCGAATTGTGTGCCCAACTGGTCGTTCGGAGAGACGGAACTTTTGGCTCTCCCGCCGGCCAGAGGATTTTCACGCCAGGAACCGTTGACCCGGATCACACCCAGCGACTCCCCATTAAGACGGCCACGCACCTCGCCCGAGATCTGGCCTTGCCGGGGCCAGTCGACCGTAACGGCTGAATGGGGCGAAAAAGAGGAAAAAAGTGTGAGGTTCCTTGTTCTCCGGCCTGTGCTGGGCAATCACGCGGTCGTCATGGTGACAACAGACCTGTGCATACGAGAAAAATATGGGTTTAAAAAAGTGGGAATAAAAAGTTGCCATTCAGGGCCTCGTGACTCGGCGCGAGGAAGGATCCGCAAGAAGATTGGAATTTCCTATCTAAAAACTTAAAAAGCCTCTCGTTGTCAAGGTGGCGCCGGATGGAGGATCAAAGGACCTGGGATTGTGGAATGATTTCTGCCCTCACCTGAACACGGAGGGGCCGAGCCTGGCGGTACGCAGGCCTGGCTCTCCTCGGCAACACCCTGGCAACCGTCGGCGGAGATGCCGCCGCTGTTCAGGGGATCCAGGTCTCGGGCCACGGTCGCTTTCAGTTGACAACTGCGTTGTCGCGTCTGACGACCGTCTGCCAGAATTTCGGAGTCCACAAGCAGCACCTCATTTGGCTCGCCCTTCTCAACTGGCATCACTCGTCGTCGGCCCGTTGAGCAGTCGAGTTGGCATGCCGACCAGGCACTCCAGGTCGTCCATTCTGCCAGCCCGAGGGAGGACGGCTCATCGAATTTCGAGTCCGGTCCGGAGCCCGATT